CTTTATGAAAGAGGTAGCTTGATCGTGTGTGAAGAAGGGAATGACCGAATGTTTACACTCTTTGAACATCAATGTTGTCATTGCATCTGATCCACAAGATTTACACGTTTAGCACTATGTTCAATGAACCGCTTTATTTCTGAATCATTGATCGATCCGAGAATCTTTAGGGTAGCAGATTCGCGATACCCAAGATACATATTTTTCTGTATTGATGTCTTTTGAGAGTTTCGAGTGTTTCCCCATGGGGATCCGGGTTAGAATGTGTCACCAGAAGCCCATTACTGGTTGTAAGAGGCAACCAAATTGGGCAACCTGTTTGCTGTGGGTTGCGCCCCTGTGTCAGTGATTCTTGTGGTTGAGGGCACTGGAGACAGAAACTTTTGGAACTTTTTCCCAACACGCCACTTTGACCCTAACTTCACTTAGACAGATGGTAGAATTGGCCAGGTTCTATCAATTGGCTGGTCTTGCCATACCCTGAGTATCGTCAACTTTGATTTTGAATATATATCTTCTTATATTCCACACAGTTATTCTTGAAAACATCAATTTTTTTGTATGTTATTAATCTGCCTAGAGTCCCATGGCAGAAGGCAGTGGTTCATGGGCCAATCTGGCATTATTGACCTCCGTTGACTTTTATTCTGTTTGACTCTCTTAGCTACCCATGTCTGTATTGCTCGAGTATAGCATGCCTGTAACCATGATGTTTATAGTCAGCTTCCAATGCAGCACCGTCTTTGTAGACACTCCATGTCAGTGGGGAGCAGGGTTGTGGTATAACCTTTTTTCATTATGGCTGCCCCACAGATCACTGGTTCTCGACAAAAAAATATAAGAAGGCATATTAAGACAGATACTGCAATATCTTCTGATGAGGATTCTATACAAAATATTGATTCTTGGCCACGATTTCTGGTGGTTGATGGTGAGCCTTTCAAACTCAACCCCCTTGTAGTTTCAAAATCAGTTGAAGGTACTGTTAATTGTAAAAAAGAATACGGCAGCTGGCCCCTAGCTAAAAATGCAATTCAATATGAATACGACACCCCCCTCCTCCCAAGCATCAGTGGATTTATATCTAAAGAAAATGTCCTCTGTCGGGTTTACAGGAGAATCCTCACCTTAATCCAACCTTACATTAATCCAATCACACACCAAATAGCACCGCTTATTAACGCTGAGTATTGTACTTCCGCTAAAACAATACATGCATGCCAATCTCATTAAAATCAGATCTTAGTTTTCGCTACCTCTAAACAAAGATTTGAGGACATCCCATTATGGGTCATGTCAGAACGACCTTTCATCTGACCAATCAGAGCATCGCTTAGCAGATCATGAAAGTGACAGTTGGAATGTGATTTTTTATCGTGCAACCTCGAAAAAAAACACACAGGGTATTCTGAACGACAGTTATGGGCTTTATGTCCGTAGTCACGCAATATTAGCAATTCCAGAACGTTCTTTTGTTCAGTTTTTAAAATTTTAATCGAGTATATGTCAATATATGTTTTAAAACGTAGTCGCCAGTTTAAAACTCATGCCGTAATTCTTATTGACTATTGCTGACTTCTTGTTAAGTATCAGGATCAGGGTGTCTCACAAGGCAGTATTTTGTCTGTCACTTTGTTTAGCCTAAAAATTAACAGTTTACCAAAGGTTTTAAACGATTCAATTGATGGATCGTTGTTTGTGGATGATTTTAATGTTTCTTGTCTTGGTAAAAACCTGCATACAATTAAGAGGCAACTGCAATTGTGTATAAATATAATCCATAAATGGTCTCTTGAAAATGGCTTTAAATTTTCCAAATCTAAAGCAAACTGTATTCATTTTTGTAGAAAATACAAACCTCATACAGACCCGGAATTGCTATTAGATGTCACTCCTATTAAAGTTGTAAAGGAAGCCAAATTTTTAGGTTTAATATTCGATCACAATTTGACCTTTTCACCCCATATTAAATATTTAAAGAATAAATGTCTGAAGGCCCTAGATTTAGTAAAAGTTGTCTCTAATTCCACGTGGGGAGGGGATCAGAAAACCCTCCTCCAACTATACAGAGCTCTTCTCCATTCTAAACTTGATTACAGCTTGTAGAAGCAATTTAAAATGATTAGATACCATTCATCACCAAGGCCTGAGGTTTTGCCTTGGCGCCTTCTGAAATTCGCCTATTCACAGTTTGTATGTGGAGGCTGATGAGCCATCCCATAAACATTACTTTAACATTAAATTATCTATGCAGTATATCTCTAAATTATGTTCGACTAAATCCAGTCCACCATATGACTGTGTTTTTAATCCTCTTTACAAAAATCTCTACAATAAAATATCATCTCTTGTCCCAACACTTGGAGTCAGATTACAATCTCATATTTCTGCTGCTCAAATCAATCTTGAAAACATAGCCCCCACTTGGCTTTTCTCTTCTCCACAATGGCTGTTTGTAAAGCCAGAGATGTACCTAACATTAACTTAACTAAAGAAATCTTTAACAAATCAACTAATTTATCAACAAGAATATAATTAATTTAGAAGCTTTCACAATACCTACAAATCTACATTTACAGATGGATCCAAGGACGGTGACACAGTTGCTAGCGCCACCATCATTGGATCCAGGACTTTAAAACATCGTGAATACCAGATAACTTCCATTATTACCGCGTAATCAAATGCCATAATAACAGCACTAGAATACATTAATACTCAATCAAAGCTTAACAATTTATTATATATTCAGACTCTTTCCTGTCTTCAGGCAATCAAAAAACAATCTTGCAAACATCCACTTTTAATCAAAAGTATTGAGTTATATAATGATCTTGCTACTGGCTAATACAACATCAATTTTTGTTGGTTACCCAGCCATGTTGGCATCATTTGTATCACTGTGGCTGATGCTGCAGGTAAAGCAGCACTCAACAAATCTGTGACACTACTTCTGATTCCATGCACTGATTACCAGCCCGTGATTGGATCCTACATCCAAGATCTACTTGGGCTGTCAGTCAAGATTGGAAGAGGTAATCATGCGATGATGTCGTATTGGCCGTTCAAGATATACACATGAATATTTATGAAAAGGTGAAGATCCTCTGTTCTGCATCCCTAGTGATGAAAGAATCACAGTCAAGCATGTCCTGCTTGATTGTACTGATTTTTCCATCACAACGGATCATTATTTCAAAGTTTCATCAATGAAGGATCTTTTTAACATTAAATTCTTGGATTTTTAAAAGAAATTAAATTGATTCATAAATTTTGATGTACATAGTTGTTTCTTATCAATTGGTAGTATATAATTATACCCCTGTTTACAAAGTAAATCAGGGGTATATAGCGTTCCATCTGTCCATCCTTCCGTCCGAGCTTTTGTACGGCCTATAACTTTTTAACCATGCACCCTAACTTCACCAAACTTGCTACACACATTTACCACAATGAGCACTTGTGCCTTTTGCTAGTTTGAAGATTCTGAACTTTTAATTTTTGCTGTTTCCATGGAAACATTAAGAAACTTAAACTTTTAGGGTGGGTGTTTTGTACGGTCCATATCTTTTTAACTATGCATCCTAGGCTTCATCAAGCTTGCTACACAAATTTACCACAATGAGTACTTGTGCCTTTTGCTAGTTTGAAGATGCTGAATTTTTTTATTTTTGCCGTTTCCATGGAATCATGGTGAAACATAAATTTTGGGTAGAGTTTTTGTACGATCCATGTTTACAATATTATGTATCCTAGCTTCAGCAAACTTGCTACATTAACCACTATGATTGTTTTTTTATCTTTTATAAGATTCTGAAAGTTTTCTCTTTTGCTCTTTTTCATTCAATGTATAATAAGTATGCATCATGCTTTGTAGTTAATTTCCAGTATAAAAGGATTCCAAGAATGTATGTTGTGCTAAGCATTAATTATCACACACTAGATTGAAATATATTTGCAAAAACATGTGTTCATTTCAAACATAATGCATCCTCATGGGGTTTACAAAGGAAAGGGCAGTTCCTCTGACTTTAAGCAACAGGTATATTTCATTAATTAACAAACTATTTACTATTTGTTGTTGACCAGCGGGGATAACAGGGGTATGTGAGCTTTGCTCACTTCTTTCTTGTTATTGACTGTGATGTATGTACAACTTTTGAAAGTCACGATATGGCTGAAATACTGGGGATGTGACTTTAAATTTAAACTCACTCGAATGTTGTTTGAGCATTCAATATGTCTAAACGGAGATATTTGATTGCTGTACATAATGGTTATGCTCACCTCCCCTTTTTGGCTCATGTTGCCTGAATAAACTTGTACTAAGGTGGAGTCATTTTGTTGATAGCAATGTGCTTTTTCCTAACCTTGTCTCAGTTATGGAAAGAGCATCTAAATTGTTATCCCTTACTTAATCACATAGGTGATACTCAAAATACCATTCATACTTCAAATTGTTTGAAATTATTCATTCTGTGTTCTAAAGGCACCACTACTATATCCATATAGAAAGGTTTTGCCAACAAGGTTCCAAATGGGTAAAATTACCCAGACGATGTAGATGTTTACGAAGTCTCTTGGTGAATATTTAAATATCATGTTTTGGGAACATCCATTGCATTTAGTAAGCCTTTGTGCATACATTAACCATCCCAAAACACACAAGCATTATTTGAATGTGCAAGACCAACGGAATGCTTTCACAGCGATCCAATTAGTCAAGACACTGGCCCTGACCATCAGATACTACGGATGTATTATGACCTAGAATAACCGAAACCCACAGCAGACTACAATGAGAGTTGATTGCCAACCATATATGACATGCTTCATTGTGTATCATTTTTTCGCCTATCTTAGAACAAAACTCTTTAGTATGCACTTAACTCTGGATGGCTGGTCCACACTGAGTGTATAATCGTATGCTGTAAATAGGTATTGTTGATACTCACTCAAAGACTGGCAATGTGTACAACAGCTTCCCATCTTTGTTTCAGATTGGAATCAGTAGTGCAGAAGGTACGTGTAGTCAGCAAGGATCAGGATGTCAAAGCTGAATCAAGCTGCAACTACAGTGCAACTGCAGATAGAACGGTAAATTGTGATAGGGAGTGCATACCGAGTATACCCAAAGGTGGATCTGTTGACGAAAATCTAAACAAGAAAATTGTTGGTTTCAGACATGACCCTGAAGGAATTATTCACGAAGCGGATGCCTTTCGATTCCATGAATGTCATATACATGGGAATTGCAATCTCCACAGTGATACCACAAGGGAAAAAGCCAAAGTTTCAATGGATTCAATAATGTCAGAAGGCCATGGCATCATGGAAACCTGCGAGAGTGGATCAAGTGTTCGGACTAATGTCAGTGTGGTATCAGCATCAGATATCAGCATACAAGATGATCGACCTCTAAAGGATGGAGGGAAGGAAATTCACTGCTTAACACCCGTCTCTGAAGTTTAGCATTTACATGAGCAGAATGAGCTCTGTTGCAGCCCAAACAGCTGACACATATTGAATGTTTGTATAACGACGGCAAAATAGATTTTTAATACAAACCTCATTTAATTAATTGATATATTATCTTTTAGCATATCATTTTATATCATTTTATATCATTCACCTTTACACTACACCTAAGAAACAAAGGGGCACGGTGGCCCAGTCGTATAAGGCGCCGCGATTCACTGTGCAGAGTTGCGTCCCTTGGGCACGCCAGAAACCTATTATTGTGGGTTTGAATCACAGTTCGCCCCAATTATGTTTCTAGGTTTGTCAGCACCATACCCGTGCTCATGGGTTTCACTGAAGTGGGAAACGTCTGAGACCTGCATCACTTCAGGCTTTCCTCTCACATTAAAGGGGCAATTTATTAAACGCCTAAATATCCAGTTATTTTACAAAGTGACTGAAAAAACATTTCCATCTGTATTATTATGATAACAAATTCCAAACATTTTGATGTTTAAAGGGGCACTGATCTAACGCAATTCCCCGGGACTGGTTGTTGCCTTTGTTATTGTTTTTTCCCAGTGAGTACCCGGATGTATAGCAGAAATCTAGACTAGTTCGCGACCTCTGCTGCGCCATTCGTATGCGCATTAGTCACTTTTATGGGTAGTAATGGCGTATGGTCACATTGATCAACAAAATGAAATACAGTTTTCGAGATAATAAGGAAATGTAGGTATCTTTGTGAGTAGCATCGGTAATGGTGACGAAGTTTTGACTTGCTTGGTAATTTTGCGATTATCGTTTACACTATTTTTACTTGCAACACAAAGTAAATATTTCACCTGAGCATATGCTTTGTTATAGTGTGTATATTTTTTTACTGTCAAATGTGTAACAAATTTATTAAACGTCTAAATATTCAGCTATTTTACAAAATGACTGAAAAACATTTCCATCTGTATTATTATGACAACGAATTCCAAACATTTTGATGTTTAATGTCATCACCAAGAGACTGAAAATGTTACGTTGAAAAGTACATTTCTAAGTTGTTTGGCTTTTAATCCTACATAATAATCTGTTGTAATGTTTGTAGGCCCTTTTGATCGTCTTGATCAATCTGGACAGATTTTTTAGTCAAAATGACTGAAATATTTACACATTTTATAAATTGCCTGAGAGAATCACATTTTTACAAATTGACGGTAATATATACACGCTTACAAAGGAAAAGACCTGTGACAACAACGTCTATCGCGCATTGAAGAATTTCCCAACCAAGACGTAGAGAAACAAGAACGAATCGGTTCAAATGAAGGAAAACAAAATGCAAATATCATAATTACAACCTACCAAATTTATGTGTATAAGTTTTAGGCAGCTTCCTTGTTCGAGGAATGTATCCGTGAATATCCACACAAAGGAACAATATTCCACTCGTCTGCAGCTATACAAAGAAACGTATTCGATGTCACGTGTCTCAGTAACAATCAAATATTTTAAAAGATATATATCGTTTCGGGATATTATAAACCGTGTTCGTTTCTCAACTGGTTGCTTGGATTGTTTCAGGTATTTTACATAGGTGTCACGTCTCAATGGTCGGCTGAGAAAGCCCACGTGACAACTATTTTCATAACGTCCACGGTTCCTAAAAATTCCATTGAGTGATAGATAACAATGATCAATCAATCAACGTGTTACCAGTTAAAGGGGCACTGATCTAACGGACTGGTTGTTGCCTTTGTTATTGTTTTCCCCCCGTGAGTACCCGGATGATACGCAACGCAACTGAGCGTGACCAGAGACTGGGGTACCGTCTGCAAGGACAGCTAAATAAACTTTGAGGCTGGAGGCAATATTTGTTTTACGCATTTTTGAACACTGATTGGTTAACTGTGATCTATAAAGATTTCGACAAAGGGCGCATGTTAATTCATTTCTTCAGCCTAAACAAACAGACAAAAAAAACAAGGGAGCTCATCGGATGTCGTCATTTGGAAATACCCCAGATGGTTATAGTTTAATACTAAATCAGTATCCATGCAGTGAAAGCATTTTCGGATTTCGGCTTGCGTCGATAATACGATTACTACTCCCTTGTTGTCATCCACGTTTTCTCGTATAACCCTACACTTGTGTATTTGTTGTCATTCACTTGATGCTCAGTTAATGAATTTATTACAGGTACAATTAGTGGTAGCACCACTTAAATTACCTGACAAAGGTTCCCATTTGGCATTTATTGTGTCTGGGGTAATTATTCAATCTAAATCCAGGTTTGAAGTGAGGTGAAATGTGTGTTATGTAATATGCACGTGGCAGCCCAGCAAGAGATGAATGATCAGTTGATTTACTTTTTTTTGTAAATCAACGGATCGTTCCTAGTCATCAAAGGATTAACAGAAATTACGTGGATTGATTAATCACTGTTATCTTGCACAGTGGATATGTCAAGAGTAGGTGTTTACATGTCTAGGTTTACTAAAACAAAGGGAATACACTCATATCATGGCGCGAAGTGCCGATGTAAAAACAACATACTTTGTTCAAAGGGTTAACTGATAATACGTTGATTGATTGATCATTGTTATCTATCACTCAATGGAATTTTTAGGAACCGTGGACGCTATGAAAATAGTTGTCACGTGGGCTTTCTCCGCCGACCATTGAGACGTGACACCTATGTAAAACACCTGAAACAATCCAAGCGATCAGTTGAGAAACGAACACGGGTTATAATATCCCGAAACAATATATATCTTTTAAAATATTTGATTGTTACTGAGACACGTGACATCGAATAAGTTTCTTTGTACAGCTGCAGACGAGTGGGATATTGTTCCTTTGTGTGGATATTCACGGATACATTCCTCGAACAAGGAAGCTGCCTAAAACTTATACACATAAATTTGGTAGGTTGTAATTATGATATCTGCATTTTGTTTTCCTTCATTTGAACCGATTCGTTCTTGTTTCTCTACGTCTTGGTTGGGAAATTCTTCAATGCGCGATAGACGTTGTTGTCACAGGTCTTTTCCTTTGTAAGCGTGTATATATTACCGTCAATTTGTAAAATGTGATTCTCTCAGGCAATTTATAAAATGTGTAAATATTTCAGTCATTTTGACTAAAAAATCTGTCCAGATTGATCAAGACGATCAAAAGGGCCTACAAACATCACAACAGATTATTATGTAGGATTAAAAGCCAAACAACTTAGAAATGTACTTTTCAACGTTACATTTTCAGTCTCTTGGTGATGACATTAAACATCAAAATGTTTGGAATTCGTTGTCATAATAATACAGATGGAAATGTCTTTCCGTCACTTTGTAAAATAACTGAATATTTAGACGTTTAATAAATTTGTTACACATTTGACAGTAAAAAAATATACACACTATAAAAAAAGCATATGCTGAGGTGAAATATATACTTTGTGTTGCAAGTCAAAATAGTGTAAACGAAAATCGCAAAATTACCAAGCAAGTGACTTATCAAAACTTCGTCACCATTACCGATGATACTCACAAAGATACCTACATTTCCTTATTATCTCGAAAACTGTATTTCATTTTGTTGATCAATGTGACCATACGCCCTTATTACTACCCATAAAGTGACTAATGCGCTTACGAATGGCGCAGCAGAGGTCGCGAACTAGTCAAGATTTCTGCTATACATCCGGGTATTCACTGGGAAAAAACAATAACAAAGGCAACAACCAGTCCCGGGGAATTGCGTTAGATCAGTGCCCCTTTAAACATCAAAATGTTTGGAATTTGTTATCATAATAATACAGATGGAAATGTTTTTTCAGTCACTTTGTAAAATAACTGGATATTTAGGCGTTTAATAAATTTGAAAATGTTACACATTTTGACAGTAAAAAAAATATACACACTATAAAAAAAGCAATGCTCAGGTGAAATATTTACTTTGTGTTGCAAGTCAAAATAGTGTAAAAGAAAATCGCAAAATTACCAAGCAAGTGACTTATCAAATATTCGTCACCATTACTGATGCTACCCATAAAGATACCTACATTTCCTTATCTCGAAAACTGTATTTCATTTTGTTGATCAATGTGACCATACGCCCTTATTACTACCCATAAAAGTGACTAATGCGCTTACGAATGGCGCAGCAGAGGTCGCGAACTAGTCTAGATTTCTGCTATACATCCGGGTACTCACTGGGAAAAAACAATAACAAAGGCAACAACCAGTCCCGGGGAATTGCATTAGATCAGTGCCCCTTTAACCCTTTGAACAAAGTATGTTGTTTTTACATCGGCACTTCGCGCCATGGTATGAGTGTATTCCCTTTGTTATAGTAAACCTAGACATGTAAACAATCACTCTTGACATATCCACTGTGCAAGATAACAGTGATTAATCAATCAACGTATTTTCTGTTAATCCTTTGATGACTAGGAACGATCCGTTGATTTACAAAAAAAAATATATCAACTGATCATTCATCTCTTGCTGGGCTGACACGTGCACATTACATAACACACATTTCACCTCACTTCAAACCTGGATTTAGATTGAATAATTACCCCAGACACAATAAATGCCAAATGGGAACCTTTGTCAGGTAATCTAAGTGGTGCTACCACTAATTGTACCTGTAATAAATTCATTAACTGAGCATCAAGTGAATGACGACAAATACACAAGTGTAGGGTTATACGAGAAAACGTGGATGACAACAAGGGAGAAGCAAGCCGAAATCCGAAAATGCTTTCACTGCATGGATACTTTTTTGGTATTAAACTATAACCATCTGGGGTATTTCCAAATGACGACATCCGATGAGCTCCCTTGTTTTTTTTGTCTGTTTGTTTAGGCTGA